TTGTTGGAAGGGTGGGGGCGCCCCGCCGGGGGGGGGGGGGGGTAGATAACATTCTGCACAAGAGTGGAGTTCCATTTGTTTCAGAGTAGCTGAACATCCAAATGTTTAGACTGGCTTCTGGTATTAAATCAATCTCCCTGGATTCATTTTTGTTTTGGTTTAGTTTTCGCTATAGAATGCATGTGCTCACCAGAGACAGAGAGACAGGGAGAGAGGGAGGTGAGAAACCACCACCCAGAGGGATGATCACAGCACAGTCCCTTCTCCTCCAGTCTCCTCTCAGATTCTGGACTCGGACACGCAGCCAGCATGATGTCTAGGCCACTGTGCCTGGCACTTGAACCCTGCCTGCAGCTGGCCATGTGGGACCCAGCACCCTAACCTTCACACTGCCTGCTAGCCCGTGGACTCATTCTCTACTCATTAGTTCAGCTCAGAGAATTCTTGAGCTATAGATATGAAGATGGAAAAGACACAGTTTATTCCGGCAGATTAGGGGCCCTGGGTGTCACAGGTGAGTATGAAAGATTTTAGGTCATCGCCTCTTTTACCACACTCTGAAGACGATTATTTCAAATAGATGGAGAGATGGGACCAGCAGTTGGCATAATGGCTATGTCGCTGGACTCCCATGTAGTCAACCACGGTTCGAGTCCTAGACCCAGGGGTTCAAACTCACATCAGGTGTGTGTGCGTGCGTGCCCAAGATCCTGAGAGGAGAAGGGAGGAGAAGGGATTGTGGCATGGCCATCCCCCCTGGGGGGTGATTTCCTGCTTTCTGTCTGTCTTTGGTGAGCACTCACACCTACAGCAAAAACTTCTCAAAAAAAAGTCAAATAGATGGAGAGAAAAATCAAGCCAAATTGCCTACTGCCAAATTAAATGATGGTGATTCCTTATGAATGGCCTCTCCAGATGCCAGGAAGTACAACATTGTTTCTCAATCCCATTAAACGTGTCTACAAGAAAGAAAAAAGAAAGGAAGAAACATGTCTACCGCTATGTGATGAAGATGTCAAGTGTCAGCTTGAACCTAGATTCCAGGGCACAGTGAAAGCTATTCCAGACCCCATCATCAGTAAGTTTCATTCAACCATTAGACTCCACACTGTAGAGACAATCACTCTCTGCTTTTCAAATAATTTTTTTTTTAATTTTAGCTTTATTTCATTTATTTATTTAAATTTGACCAGAGAGGGACTGAGAGAGAAAGCAAGTCACCAGGTCCGGGATTCAAACCCTGTCTGGCCATGTGGGAGTCCAGCGCCCTTAACCACCACGCCACCTGCTGGCCCCCTATGCTCACTGGCTGGACCTTCCCGCTGGGGCCCACCATGGGCCTCTATTTGCTTCTGTCCTTCCTATCCCGGCCCCTGCTCCTGTCCTCCCTGAAGTCCCTCTCTCTATCCCAGTCACTTTCAGGCCAGGCCCTGTTGGGCTCTCTTTCCTGCCATCTCCTCTCCCGGCCCCTGTCGTGGTCTCGTTCCCTCGTCCTCGAATCCCAGTGTCTTTCTCGGGATCGAGAGGGCTCCCTCCTTTCCCGTTTGCCCTCTCTGTAGAGGTCATTTTTAACAACGGGCAAATTAATAGGTTTTCGAAAATGTCGATCCCGTCCCCCAAACCTCAGTTGCCCGGATTCCTTTTTTCCCCCAAGACCACCTCCAAGTCGCCGAGGGATCCACCCTTTCAGAGTTCTTTCCAGCTCGTAGTCCACGAATATCTCATGCTGGTCGATGACCAGGCCATCGGCGTCCCGGTAGGCTTTGATCAGTGCTCGCTCCTCCTTGTACTCTATAAAGGCGTAGCCCTTGGAGAAGCCCGTGACCAAGTCCCGCACCAGCCGGAGCCGCCGGATGTCACCGTAGCGGGAAAAGACCTCCTTTAGTTTGTCCTCTTTGGTTTGTAGGTTCAGTCTGGCCACGAACAGGGTAAGCAGGGGGTCTCCTATGACGCCTTTGTTGGGGGCGTATCGTGCCAGCATTGCCCTCCATATGGCGCGGTCGTGTGGGTCTTCGTCAGTGCCATCAATGCTGCCAGCTTTAAGTGGGTCATACTCCTTGGCGATGGGCATCCAATCGTTCATTTTCTGAGGATGAGAACAGCAAATGTGTATGTAGCATCTACTACGCGCAACTCTTAAACTTTCTTTTTTCTTTTTTTGAGAGGTTTTCGCTATAGGGTGCGTGCGCTCGCCAGAGAGACAGAGAGACATAGAGACAGAAAGCGAGAAATCACCCCCCAGGGAGGATGGTCACGTCGCAGTCCCTTCTCCTCCATTCTCCTCTCGAAATCTTGGGCACGCATGCACATGCGCCCAGCGTGAGTTTTAAGCCACCGTGTCCGGGACGCGAACCATGGTCGACTACGTGGGAGTCCAGCAACATAGCCATTACGCTAACTGCTGGTTCCCATCTCTTAAACTTTCTTTAAAGTTTCTGCCACAGAGCGTGTGTGCTCACCAGAGAGACAGTGAGAAATCTCCCCCTAGGGTGGATGGCCACTCCACAATCCCTTCTCCTCTACTCTCCTAGGATTCTGGGCACATTTGCACACGCGCCCAGTGTGTTTTTCAAGCCACCAGATCCAAGACTTAAACCGTGGTCGGCCATCCGGGAGTACAGCACCTTAACCACCATGCCACCTGTTATTCATCCCTCCGTGAGGCTAGGGAAGGTAGGGGACACCCACAGGGCTAAGGCCTCCCAGCTAGTAAGAGTACCGAAGCCAGGCAGATAGGCTTCACTCTTCTAAACCCTCAAGAAGCAGAGGGCTGCCTCCTTGGGTCCCGTCCTCACATGCCCCATCCAGCTCAGCCATGGGAGGACTCTTACAGCTGTTACAGCAGCCAATGTGGATCCAAACCCAGGCTTGCCTTTCAGAGACTTTTAAGTGGTCACAGGCAGCCCAGCCTGGGTGGTGCAGTGCTGGAAGCCATATGGCTGATCATAGGTTCAGATGCCCGGGTCAGCCTGACAGCAGCATACATGCCTGGGACTCAAGATCTGACCGAAGGATGGGAAGGGCCTCACCGCATGCCTTGTCAAGGGCGTGTCTCTCTCTCCTCCATGCATGAGCACTAACAAAAAACAAGAAATAAAAACACCACACACGGGGCGGGTCCCATAGCCTAGTGATTAAGGAAGCCGGATTCCACGGCCAACCACAGTTCGAATCCTGGCCCCAACAGCCCCAAAATACTGACAGGATGGAAGGCTGGAGAAATGGAGAAATGATTGCAGTATGACCACACCCATTGGGGCGTGGTCTCTCTCTGGTTAGCGCATGTCCTCTGGCAATTATAAATACATAAATAACTGTAAGGGGAAATGGTGATTTGAATGCAGCATCGCACAATAAACAGAGCAGAACTAAGACTCCAGGGACCCGCAGTCGGCTCACTAGTTCAAAAGGAATATGGAATCTCTTCTCAGCTCCCTGGCTAATAACCCTTCATGCCTTGCAGCCTGAGAATCTACTGTAATGGTAATCTCTGCCCAGCAAGCAAGCTGTCATTCACTCTGGCACACGGTAATTAATTCATGTGAGCCTTTGCTAGAATACGGAAGGCCCCTGCCAACATCTCGGGCCTGGCCGATGTTTATGTAACCACCTCTGTCAAATGCTAGAGCCGAAATACGTCTGCTAAAGATCAGGTCTCTGTGGATGGCATGTGGTAATTCTCACTCTTAACAGCACCTTTCTGTATTATTTATTCAAATATCCCTGGATATTCGCCTTACTCAAATTTTCCTTCAGAGTCGTTTTGCTTCCTCTTCAGTTGACGGGCTATGTACGGGCGTGGTTGTTCATGGGGTGCAGGAACTGTGGAATATTTTCTTCTCCAGTCAAAAAGCCAAACCCCCACAGAACAAAATCCAAAATCAAAGCCCTGCCCTCGCTCCTCCTCCCACATCGCCAGCCCCCTCCAGCTACCCGAATCGTCCTCTCCCAGAACGCCCCTCGCTCCCTGGCTGCACGCCTATCCTGTGCTGCTTCCTCCGCCGGGAACTGTCTTCCTCTCTGCCTCCTATACTGCTTCTGGAAATTCCACTCGTCCTTCCACGTCCAGCTGCCACCCCTCCTGAGGACAAGCGCATCTCTCCCATGGCGCGCTGAAGCCCTTCGGAGACAGGACCAGGTCCTATGCGGTGCACGGGAAGCGCTCCTCATCTGGTGTCTCCAGACCCTAGGACACTCACTGCTAAGTGCCAGGGAACTGAGCCAAGTCGCAGCTTACTTTGTCCTGATCAGACGAGAAGGACCCACTTCACTGGGACTGCGAAGCAGGCAGCACTTCACTGTCTGCCACCAAACTGTACAGGGGCAACACACGCCTGTCATCGCCAACGACCACTCCGAGAACACGCTTGGTGGCGTCCTTATTGGTAAGAGGGTGACCAACAGCTGGAGTGACCCCGCCACTTTTAGCACGGGCTGGGTCCTGGCTCTGACCGACTCTGCATTTTCTCTCTGGTGGCTGGAATTTCTCCGTGTGAAAAAAGCAGAGACAGTGCTTATGTGACTGGTTTGTCCCTGCTCTGGTGTGTTCAACGGCGATCCCACTCACGGGGCCTGACTCCCAGCTCCGCCGCAGAGCTGGGCTGCAGAGCTGGGCTGCAGGAAGAGTGAGGAGGCGCATCACTGAAGCTCACTCATACTGGACGCTTAGGAGGCACCAGGCACTGTGCACTCCGAACTCCTCTCACCGCTCAGAGTACCAGGGTGTAGATACTTAACTGAGCACCCTTAGCCACTTAAGAGAGAGGCTTTTGCTATAGGGCGCATGTGCTTGCTGGAGAGACAGAGACAGAAAGTGAGATCACCGCCTGGGCCACATTGCAATCCCTTCTCCTCTATTCTCCTCTCAGGATTCTTCTAGGCATGCACACACAAGCACCCAGCATGAGTTTCAAGCCAGCTGGTCTGGGGCTCAAATCACAGTCTAGCATAACCATTACATCATTTGCTGGTTCCCCAAAACTGAAACTATTTAAAAAAAAATTTGTTCAAAGAATAATTTAACTTTATTTATTTATTTTTTAATTTGACCAGAGAGGGAAAAAGTGAGAGGGAGAGGGGGAAAGTGAGAAAGCAAGTGGCCAGGTCCGGGACTCAAACCACAGTCGGCCATGTGGGAATCCAGCACCCTTAACCACCACACCACCTACCAGCCCCCAAAATCTGAAACTTTTTAAGCTCTGACATGACACAAGTGGAAAGTTCCACATCTGACCTTGGGCGACACTGCGATACAAAAACATTGCACAGAATTACCCGGGGGTGTGTGTGTGGGGGGGCAGTAACACGGCAGCAATCACAGACCCACAGGGCAAAGGTCCTGAGCCCACCAGACCCACGCCAGCGGAGATGGGCACGGATTGAGGTGTGATGATCCCACTCATCTCACTCTTTTTCTGTCCTTTGTCCCTCGTGGAAGAAATAAACTCTTTAAAAAATGTTTTAAAATAATTATTTAATTTTATTCATTAATTTATTATTTTTTAATTTGACCAGAGTGAGACACAGAGGGAGAGTGAGAAAGCAAGCAACTAGGTCTGAGACTCGAACTGTGGTTGGCCATGTGGGAGTGTCCAGCGCCTTAACCACCATGCCATCTGCTGGTCCCAGAAATAAACTTTTTAAAAAATAACCTTCACAGGGACCAGCAGATGGCAGAATGGTTATGTCGCTGGACTCCCACCAAGTTGACCATGGTTGTAGTCCTACACCCGGCAACTTAACAACACTCATACCGGGCTTGTGTGCGTGGGTGCCCAAGATCCCAAGAGGAGAATAGAGAAGGGACTGCAGTGTGGCCATCCCCCCAGGGGGGTGATTTTCCACTTTCTGTCTCTTTGGTGAGCGCATGTGCTCAACAGCAAAAATCTCTCTTAAATAAAAAGCCTTCCTAAAAACAATCAATCAAACAAACAAAAAGAAACAAAAAACAAAACCAAAAATGTACAAGAAAAACATGATGTTCCGGCTATCTAATGTATGAGGTGCGTATGAAAAATCAATGAACTCCGTGTTTAGACTTGGGTCCCATCCCTACACTCTATCATTATGTATATGCAAAAAGAAAAAGCGCAAATTCTAAACAATACTCTAGTCTCACGCATCTCAGATAACAGACACTCAGCCTGTACTACAATTATGGCTTGCCATGTCAGACGAAGACAGGCACAAAAAGGTGGTCTTTTGTCCCCAGTCACAAAACTAAGAAGTAGCCCAGTGTAAAAGAACTGAGGGCCAAGTCAGCTCCAGAGCTTAAGCAGAGAGTCCCTCACATAGCTTTCACAGAATGTAAGGCTTTGGAGATGGGAATAAAAAACCCTACCAAAACTGGGGCTGGCAGGTAGCATGATGGTTAAGGGCAAAAGACACCCACGTGGCCAACCATGGTTCGAGTCCTGGTCCCGGTGGCTTGATTTCTCACTTTCCCGTTCTCTATTACTCTGTGTCTCCCTCTGATCAAATTTTAAAATAAAAAATAATCAAGTTAAATAAAATAATTCTTAAAAAAGTCACAAAAATCTACCAAACAGAACTGACATTACTGGGGCCAACAGGTAGTGTGGTGAAGGGTGCTGGATTCCCACATGGCTGACCCGCAGTTCGAGTCCTGGACCTGGTGGCTCGTTTTCTCACTTTCCCTTCCTCGTTCTCTGTCTAATTTTAAAACAATAATAATTATAACAATAAATATAATTAAAGAACTCTTTAAAGAAAAAAACACAACTGACATTACTGCACATAGCCAGAGGTTCTGTTCACAGTTTTTAAGACTTCTACGTAGGCCAGCAGGTGGCATGGTGGTTAAGGTGCTGGACTCCCACATAGCCAAACATAGTTGGAGTCCCAGACCAGGCGACTTGCTTTCTCACTTTCCCATTTTCTCTCTCTGATTACATTTAAAAATAAAAATAAATAAGGGACTAGCAGGTGTCATAGTGGTTAAGGCAGTGGACTCCCACATGGCTAACACGGTTCAAGTCCCAGACCTGGTGGCTTGCTTTCTCACTCTTTCTCCCGCTCTCTCTGCTTAAGGTGGAAAACGGTAATACTAATAATTATTTTAGGGACCAGCAGTTGGGGTATTGGCTATGTCGCTGAACTACCATGCAGTCGATGCCGGTTCGAGTCCCAGACCCGGTGACTTAAACTCATGCAGCGCATGTACGTGCGTGCCCAGACCCCGGGGAGGGGGGTGAAGGGACAGCAGGCGCCGTCCTCCCTGGGGGTGGTTTCTCGCTGTCTGTCTGTCACTCTCTCCAACGAGCCCAGGCGCCCTAACACAACATCCTCTAAAAAAAATAAAGTGTCTACGAAAGTTGTTCAAAAAAAAAAAAAAAAAGTCCCTCCTTACTGGGTCGTAGGAACGAGACTTCCGCGCGGCGGGAAACAGGCGGGCGGCGTCCCGGGCATGCGCAGTGGCGCCGTGGACGCGAAGGCGGAAGTCCCGGGGCCAAGCCTAAACCTCGACCCCCGGCCCTTGACCCCCGACCCCGCTCCGCTCTGGCCTCCGGCCCGCCAGGCTGCCGCGGGGCCCGTCACCGTCCGC